ATAATGATAATAAAAATGATGATGATGATGATGATGACGATGATGATGATGATGATGATGACGATGATGATGACATGTGATGATAATGACAATAATGTCAATGATAATAATGACAACATTGAATTTGATGACAGTGATGATGAAGAGGACAATGATGATGACAGTGGTGATGAAAATAAAGATGATGATGATAGTGGTGATGATGGTGATGATGACAATAATAACTATGATGATGATGACGATGATAACAATGGTAATTGTGATGAAGGCTGATTATCATAATGTTGATGATGATGATGATGAACAGGTGGTAGTGATGATGATAGTGGTGATGATAGTGATGATGATGATGATGGAGGGTGATGATGATGATGATGATGATGAAGGGTGGTAGTGATGATGGTGGTGATGATAGTGATAATGATGATGATGATGATGATGATGGAGGGTGATGATGATGATGATGATGATGATGATGATGATGATGATGATGAAGGGTGGTAGTGATGATGGTGGTGATGATAGTGATAGAGATTATTATAATGATGATGATGATGATCATGATGATGATGATGATGATGATGAAGTGTGGTAGTGATGATGGTGGTGGTGATAATGAAGGTTGATTATGATTATGATGATGATGATGATGATGATGATGATGATGAAGGGTGGTGGTGATGATGATGATGATGACATTATAATAATGATGATGCTGATGATCATGATGATCTTGATGATGATGACTATGAAGGGTGGTGGTTATGTTGATAATGATAAAAATAACGATGATGATGATGACAGTGAAGATTATGATGACAATGGTGATTATGAAGACAGTGGTGATTATGTTGATGATAATGATTATCATGCAGAGGACACTGGTGATGATAGTGATGATGAGGTTGATGATAGTGTTGAAGATGATCAAGACATTAAATTTGGACTGGACAAATATTTGTCCAAAAAGCTATCGTTAAGATGATGATGCTGACAATGATGATGATGATGATGATGATGATGATGATGATGATGATAATAATGAGACTTATTTGAATGCTTATATTCTGTAAACATTTAATCATGTAGCTCTTTGTTTGTACTATTCTGTATACTATTTGTATAACTACTATCTGTAGAGCTGCTTTGTTTGTATAAAGCCGTCTCCTCACCGTCTGTATTGGCTCATCAGGACAGGTTTTTCATGCTATCACTGAGCTGGACTGGTGTGCTTGAATACGGATTAGGGCTTCACCACTAGGGAATATTGTATTTACTCAGCCTATAACATTGCACCACTGGTCACGAGTGGTTTGGCCATTTATGTTCTTGTGAATATGAATGCGCCGGAGCTCTGGGGGAGGTGTTACGCAACAACCTGTTAAATTAATGATGATTCCTTCCGAGCTCAGTCCAACATGAAGATTTGATGCAGATAATTCGTTCTGTCTTTGCGGTTATCCTTAAGCTCTACGTGTAGCCCTGACAGCATTTCTGCTGAGTGCAGGGAAGAAAAAGGTCACTTTGAGTGGTGTCTTAGAACTTCTCCCTGTCTTCTTCTTTTCGACAGGCGGACATGTGTGCATGAAGAAAGAACTCACCCACAGTGCTGAATGAACACCACCACACCCACAGAACCAAAACTACGAATCTTTCAGTGGATGGTTTTCTAGAGAACCATCTTAAAGAAGTTTATAGAACCTTCACATAATGTAATGGTCCTAGGAAGAACCCTTAAACTGGTATATAAACTTTACACTCCTAAAAATTCAGGTGGAAGAAAGAGATGTGTGAGTGTAAAGAACCTTTTTGTAAAGATCCAAAGGTTTGTCAAACCTTTAAAAGATTCTTTACATGGATAAATCATTTTTAAGCATGGTTCTTTAGAGAACCAAAAGTTATTCTTCAATGGTATCACTCAAAGAACCCTTTGTGGCACTCTTTTTTAAATGTGTACACTCTTAGCAAAAAGGGTTCTATATAGTCCTAAAAAATATATAACTAGTAACAATAGATCCCCTTATGGTGCTTTATAGAGGCATGTTTTAAAAGGTTCTTTAAAGAATCATATAGGTTCTCCATCATGCACCCTTAAAAGGGGGTCTTCAAGGTGACTGAGTACATGTATATTGTTCTTTAAAGAACATTTTGAAAGATTTTCTATATTGCACCAATAAGCAGTTGTAACAAGTCAAAGAACCCTTTTAGTACCAAATAGAACCATTTTTAGAACGTAGGAAGAACCTTCAAATCAGTGTAGAACCCATACAAGAAGGTTTTTCTCACTCATCGAACTTAAATCTCTTTTTAAAAATGGTTCTTTAGGGAATCAAAAGTCGTTCTTCTATGACTCAAAAAAACATTGGTGGCACCTTTTCAAAAGAGCAAAAAGTGTTCTACATAGTCTCCAAAAAGATTCTTTGGCTTAACAGTGGAACCCTTTTGGATGCTACTTAGAACCATTTAAAGAAAAAAGATTTCTCCATTACAAAAAAAAGAGATTCTCCATCACAGATAAGAACCATTTAAGCATTCAAGTAGTTTCTGTTGTTGTAATGGTTCTATATATAACCACTGAATTTATTAAAGAACCCTTGAAAAACTGAGTTCTATATGGAACCATTTCATGCTTAAATGGTTCTTTGCATGGTGAAATAGTTCTTCAGATTGATGGAGAATGTGTTGTACATGGTTCTACATGAAACCTTCTTGAAAATGGTTCTATACAGCAGCAAAAGATTGCAAGTTTGATACTGTAACTATAGCAGAACCATTTTTGGTGCTATATAGAACCATATACAACACATTCTCCATCAATCTGACAGAGCATTTCAGCATGCAGAGAACCATTTAAGCATGAAATAGTTCTAGATAGGACTCATGGTTCTAAATGGAACATTACCTTTACTGAAGAACCCTTGAAGAACCATCTTTTTAAAGGTGTAATGTAACATTAAATCAGGGAAACTGTTGCATTAACATGGACTAACAGAAACTGTGGATGTTAATTGAAAACTATTAGAGTGAATTCAACACTGCAGGTCTTAATTCAGCAGCTGCTATATGACTTTACATTGACTCTCAAAAAAAGATCAAGGGTTCTTTAGCAAAGACCAGGGTTCTTTAGGGGCAATGAACAATCAAAGAACCATTTGCATGCTTTGCATTGTGAAATGGTTCTTCAGATGGATTGAGAATGTGTTGTAAATGGTTCTATTAGTTTCTATTAACCTTTCCATTTTAGCACCAAAAAGGCTTCTGCTACTGTGACAATGTCACGCTTGTAACAATAGCAGAGAATTGATTGTGTATCTTTACACTCTAAAAAAAAGATAAAAAAGATGGTTCTTTAAGGGTTCTTTAGTAAAGATAATAGTTCTATGTAGAACCATGAACACCCAAAGAACCATTTGCTTGCTTGAATGGTTCTTTGCATGGTGAAATGGGTCTTCAGACTGAGAATGTGTTGTAAATGGTTCTATTAGTTTCTATTAACATTTCCATTCTAGCACCAAAAAGGGTTCTGCTATAGTAATGATGTCATGCTTGTAACAACAGGAGAGAAATGATTGTGTATCCTTACACTCTAAATATGATGATTCTTTAACGGTTCTTCAGTAAAGACAATAGTTCTATGTAGAACCATGAACACTCAAAGAACCATTCGCATGCTTAAATAATTCTTTGCATGGTGAGATGGTTCCCCAGATGGAGTGAGAATATGTTGTAAATGGTTCTATTAACTTCTACTAACTCAGTTCTATTCTAGCACCAAAGGTTCTGCTGTAGTAATGATGTCACACTTGTAGCAATAGAAGAGGTATGATTGTGTATCCTTACACTCTAAATATGATAGTTCTTTAAGGATTCTTTAGTAAAGACAGTTCAACATAGAACCAGAATGAGTGAATGGTTCTTTGCATGGTGAGATGGTTCTTCAGGTGGACTGAGAATGTGCTGTACATGGTTCTATTTAGAATAATTTTGAAAATGGTTCTACATAGCACCAAAAGGGTTCTTCTATTAAAAGAATCCCTTTTGGTGTTATATATGGTTATATATTGTTAGAACCATTTAAGCATGGTTAGAACCATTTCACCATAGAACCATTTAAGCATGCAAATGGAGTGTTCGTGGTCCTGTATAGAACTATAGTCTTTACTAAAGAACCCTTAAAGAACCATGTTTTTTTAAGAGTGCTGCTAAATGTTCTCAGTGGTTCGTTTCTTAACTGGAAATTTACTGTTTAAAGAAATGAAGTAAAGCATAACTAACTGAAATAATCGCTTACTTGACGTTTAAACGTCCAGTAGCGCTCTATCAAAAGCTCGTGTTGCAAGAACAGCATTTAATACGCGCACGCGGCCAACCACCCGACGCGTGACAGTGCGCGTGGAGGGCTCGCTCATGTCGAGAAAGTGAGCTGTGGGGTTTTTCTTTCCTGCCGAGTAAAACGCCTCGTGCTCTGCAGAGATCCAAACCCGGGGGAACCGGAGGAGTGGCGAGCGTTAAGGTGGAACCGAGGAGATGCGAGGAGCGTGAGAAGACCACCAGCGCGCGCGCATTCTTACATAATTATTTAATAGCGTCTCCAGCCACTTAAATGGGAATAAAACAACGAAGCCGCGGCGCGTGCACTGCACCGCATTGAAATTAAAGGCGAGTTTTAATGCTGGAATCTTAGAATGGCACGTGCTCACTGTTTAAGTAAATAGGAAATTGGAAAAAAACACCAAAATTAGAAAATCAAAGTGTCGGCTGGGCTGACCGGAAGCTTTCTAGGACCGCTGGACGACAAAACGGGAAAAAGAAGAGGTGACCTAATGCATTGTCACTCAATAACGTCGTGCCACCTTAAGTGAGAGGAGTGACAAGATTAGAGAGAGAGAGAGAGAGAGAGAGAGAGAGAGAGAGAGCCCTCCTCCCCGTAGTGCTGCGGTGGAGCTGCGCCCTATATAAGCCCCTTACGCGCAGAGAAGACACGCGCAGTTTTTAGCGGACAGCTTTGCAGCTAAAGCAGGTCCAGTGTAGAGAATACAGAGCTCTACAGCTTTAGAGGAGCTTTACAGGGCTGTCCTGCTGGAAAAGGGACCAGCTCAGAGTTTTAGTGGAGCAGCTACGTGTTATTGAGGCAGATTACGCGTGGACAGCTCCGTGGTTCTGAAATAGTCTGAGAGTTGAAGACAGGACGGTTTAAGTCTTGAGCTTTGGTGCTGGAAAGGGAACTAAAGAGTGGTGGACAGCTCCGTGGTAAGACAAGGCAGTTTTAGTAGAGAGTTTGTAGTGCAGAAAGTGATCTTCGTTAGTGCTCCGTGGCTCTGAAACAGGTTCAGCACGCTTTAAATGGGCAGCTGTAGTACTGAAATACTACCGTATCGCTTGTAGACTCGGTTTCAGTGCTGAAACAGACTTTGTAGACCAGTTTTAACGCACGTTGTGCGGACAGCTCCATGGTGCTAAACCCAGTTTAGCCGCAGTTGTACCGGACAGCTCCGTGGTGCTGAAACAAACGCTCTATCTCAGTGAAGAGCGGCTCTATCTCTTTAGTGGACAGCTCCGTGGTGCTGAAACGAGCCCGCAGCTCTAGCGCGTTCTTTCTCTCACTGAACACAAACACAGCGAAGCAGACCCACCACAATGGAGAGGATCTCATGGACACTTTTTCTGCTGTCCCTCGTTCTCCCGGAGGTCTCCATGCAAGATTTCGGGCAGACGCAGTTCATCTGCACCTCAGTGCCGAAGGACATGGACCTGTGCGCCGCCGCGATGCAGAACAGCGGACCGGCCGAGGACCTGAAGACCACCGTGATGCAGCTCAGGGAGACGGTGCTGCAGCAGAAGGAAACCATCATGAACCAGAAGGAAACCATCCGGGAGCTGACGAGCAAACTGAACCGGTGCGAGGGCCAGAGCGCTCCGGAGCCTGGGACCGGAGGAGGGAGGAGGAAAGAGCAAGGCAAGAACACCATGGGGGACGTTTCACGAGGCGCAAGTGACACTTTGGCTCAACTGGGGCAGACTTTGGCAACACTGAAACAAAGGCTGGAGAACTTGGAGGTAGGCACTGAAGAGTAATGATGATAGAGTTTAGTAAAGACACTGAAAAACTGAATAGATTTAGTTCAAACACATCAACACAATTAGAAATGTGTGACTTTCAGTTTACTTAGTTTGGGAATAGTTGTGTTGATGTGATATGCTTGTGGAAAAAAGATGCAGAGAATCAATGCAAACTCAATGCACCTTTTTTCAAAGCCAAAAAACACACTATTGTACACATACAGCCCATTTTAAGTATGGTTCCCACACTGGGATTAAGGCTAATCTGGCTTCACTTTCCAGTCAGAATGCTCTGTGGTCCAAGACTCATATGGGCAACAGACCCATATGAAGCCCAAGACTAGACTAAATTGAAATTTTCAATGGGGATTTACCATTGACATTCCAATTTAGTCCAAGACTAGCCTTAATCCAGTTGACTCAGGTTCAAATTAGTCCACTAGTATCATTCAACTCCAGTGAAACCCCATGGGAGGGCTAATTGTGCATGTCCCACATATTTTCTTAGCCACTTAATTGCTGAATCAAGAGCAATCAATGCAAATCTTTTACAAGGTCAGACTACTCCAGCTAAAGATCACTGGATGAATATTTAGTAACTGGACATAAATACTCCAAACCTAAAGTAATCTGAGCATCAGATTTGCTTGATGATCTCTGATCATCATCATCATCATTGTTTTTTACCTCCTGCTCCACAGCAGTACAGCCGGAGTAATGGCACGGCACAGGCAAACAGCCTGAAGGATCTGCTGCAGAACAAAATTGACGACATGGAGAAGCAGGTGCTGTCCCGCGTCAACACAATGGAGGGGGGCAAACCAAGCCAGAGAAACGATACAGATCAGAGGAACAAAGTGGAGTCCACGCTGACCTCTCTACACCACCGCATCACTGATCTGGAGAAAGGTACACTCTTTAAATCAAAGGTTCTTCTAGAGTTCTTTAGACAGAGGTTTTATATGGAACCATGACTATTTTAGTGTTTAAACGGTTCTTTGCATGGTTAAATGGTTCTTTAAAGAACCTTTTCTAAAAATGCTTATATTTGCAGCAGAAAGAGTTCCACTTTTGTTACCAGTCATCCTTTTTTAGTACAATAAAAAATATTTTTTTCTAAGGTTGTGAAAAATGAGCAGTCTTAGGAGCTCTTCAGTGAACATAAGAGGAAAAAGACTGCATAGACACTTGAGACTTTAGTGCACAACGCATAACAATGCGTGAAAAATACATGTTTGTTTCTGAATGCATCTTATTCATTCTTATCTGCATATGCTTAAACTAATTGTTATATAAGATGCTGGCTGTTGTGGTAGATCTCATAAAAGAGCAATTTGCTCTCAGTAAGGTTTTCCTGGTTAAATGATGCTTTACAAATGCATAAAATCTAGTCAATTTTAGGGAAAAGGTAAGGCAATGAGCAGAAACTAAGGTGTAAAAATGCATAAAATATAGTCTGTCAACAAAATGAAAAAAATCCTACATTATATCACTTTTAATCCCCACATGTTAAAATTAAGTGTGTATAGTGCGTATGGGGTTGGGTTGGGTTGTGGAGTGTGTGTGGCTGTCGCAGCGGACGGGCGAGTCTGGGGAGGGGAAGCTGCATTAGTTTGCATATCCTATATCAGCTCATAACTACAGCCATGAGAGAGAGAGAGAGAGAGAGAGAGAGAGAGAGAAAGCATGGGAGAGAGAAGGAATATTAGAGAGAGAGAGGGAGAGAAAGCATGGGAGAGAAAGCATGGGAGAGAGAAGGAATATTAGAGAGAGAGAGAAAGCATGGGAGAGAGAAGGAATATTAGAGAAAGAGAGAGAGAGAGAGAGAGAGAGAGAGAGAGAGAGAGAGAAAGAAAGAAAGAAAGCATGATAGAGAGAAGGAATATTAGAGAGAGAGATAGAGAGAGAGCAAGAATATGGGAGGGAGAAAGGAGATAAGAGTGGGGGAGAAAGAGGGCAAGAGTATGGGAGGGAGAGAGAGAGAGAGAGAGAAAGAGAAAGCATGGGAGAGAAGGAATATTAGAGAGAGAGAGAGAGAGAGAGAGAGAGAGAAAGCATGGAAGAGAAGGAATATTAGAGAGAGAGAGAGAGAGAGAGAGAGATAGAGAGCAAGAAAGCAACAGTATGGGAGGGAGGGAGAGAGAGAGCGAGAAAGCATGGGAGAGAAGGAATATTAGAGAGAGAGAGAGAGAGAGAGAGAGAGAGAGAGAGAGAGATAGCACAAAGATCTGAACATTATCTATTATTATTTTTATCTATTATTTTTTAATCCTCTATTATTTGTATTGTTTTCGTGTTTCTGCAGGACCTAAAGGTAACAAACTGCTGGACAAGTTCCAGCTGACCTTTCCTTTACGGACGAACTACATGTACGCTAAAATGAAACGGAGTTTGCCAGAGATGTACGCCTTCACGCTCTGCCTGTGGATCAAATCTAACGCCTCCCCAGGGGTGGGCACGCCCTTCTCCTACGCTGTCCCGGGACAGGCTAACGAGCTGGTGCTGATAGAGTGGGGGAACAACCCCATGGAGATCCTCATCAATGACAAGGTAAAACAGCATTAATGCTTATTTTAGTAGGAGCATTTTGTTTTGGTTTGTGTTTGATGTTAAATCTGGACTGTCCAGAGAACAGATGGAGTCATAATCGCATTCCCTTATTCGAGAAAAGAGGAAAATGACTAGATTTTTATTGATCTTTACAGAGTTTAAATAAATTAATCAGAGCTCCCAGCAAAAAATATGGAGTGCCAACGTTCAAAATCCATTCAAACATTAGTCTGCACTTTTGTTTTAAGGTGCATAATTGAAATGTAATGCATCTACACCAACACTCATCACTCCTCTGAGTTAATAAACAATTTTGTTGATTTTAAGGTGACATATAAGCTAAGCCATCACAACTAACATTACAAAAATGTATAGCTTACACTAATCATTCAGTTATTAATCTTACGGCTTATTATTCAATATCCACTAATCAGAATCTCTTATGAATGATTCAGTGACTACTATGAACTATTCATTATCCACTGTAAATTATTCAGGGTTTACTATGAATTATTTAGTATCCACTATGAATTTTTCAGTATTTACTATTAATTATTCACTATCTACTATGACTTATTCAGTATCTACTATGAATTGTTTGGTATCCATTATGAATTATTTAGTATCTACTACGAATTATTCAGTATCCACTATGAACTATTCAGTGCCTACTATGAATTATTCAGTATCCACTATGACTTATTCAGTATATTCAGGTTCTTGAGGTATAAGAGTGGGGAACTGAAGACGCTTCAATGAGTTTAAGAGAGTTTAAACTGGCTCTTGACTCAAAGTCTCAGGTCAGGAAGTACCTTAGAATACAGATGTTCCTCTATGTTGCTCCTCTGCAGGTGGCCAAACTGCCTTTCCTCATCAACGATGGGAAATGGCACCACATGTGCATCACATGGACCACGCGGGATGGAGTGTGGGAGGCGTTTCAGGACGGAGTCCTCCGCGGGAATGGAGAGAACCTGGCTCCATATCACCCCATCAAACCACACGGAGTGCTGGTGTTAGGCCAAGAGCAGGTGAGAGTCAGAAAGTCAGCTTTTATAAACAATATTACCCACATATATACGAGGGGTTGAGGGGTTCAGACACTTTCTGAATGCTGAGCAGCTTATTTGCAATTGTATTCAATGACATGCATTTTGCAGGCTTCTATTGTGCTTAGAGCTCCAGGCCAGGCGGTCAGTGGTGTGTATCATGACAGGTGTTTTCTGTGCTGACCAATCAAATAAAAAAGCAGTACCTGAAATTTAGTACCACATAAAGAACAAGTACAAAAGAGATGGTTCTTTAGACAGTGGTTCCATACAGAACTATGAACACTCAAAGAATCATTTGCATGCTTAAAATGTTCTTTGCATGGTAAAATTGTTCTTCAGATTAATGGAGAATTTGTTATTATATGGTTCTATACATAACCAAAAAGAGTTCTCCTATTGTTATGATGTCAAGCTTGTGTACAATAGAAGAACACTTTTCAGTGCTACATAGAACCATTTTCAAAAAGGTTCTATATAGAACCATGTATAACACATTCTCCACCAATCCGAAGAACGATTTTACCATGCAAAGAGCCATTTAAGCATGCAAATGGTTCTTTGAGTGTTCATAGTTCTATGCAGAACCATTGACTTCACTAAAGAACCCTTATAGATCCATCTAAGGATGTACAATCATATCAGAATCATTGCTTACAGATATGTGATTTTTAACATATACTGTATTGGACAGATGTTTAGATTGAAGAAATATTTTAAACTGATATTGGATATCATGTGTTTATTGCACAATGGAAGAGTTATGTGCTGATATTTATTGATCTGAAATACCTGTGTTTTATTCATTTCACTGCATTTCTAAACCTTCAAATAAATGCTAGAGCTCTCTGTAACGCTAATCCAGGAGGGTGGGCAGATGTGTATGTGAAAAAATATCAGATATCAGCATTAGACAGCTTCTTTGTTTTTGTTGTTGTTTAGTTTGTTTTTTGCTATCAGCACCACACTTACTAGTTAGCAGTAGATCACTTCCTAAAGGGGAGGGGCCAAAGTTATCTGTCTGTACATATCAAAACGATAGCCAGCTAGTACAGCTGATTGACAGTTACAGCACTTTTGTTGCTTAGCAACAAAGAACAGCCAAAGGCAGCCTTAGAAGATACAGTTTGAACCTCCATTAAAAAAGAATGTGCAGTGCACCTCACGTTTTTCAGCCTTAAGAAAAAACAGTGTAAAAAGATGAAACTCAATGAAAAAGTGCCAAAAAGTTCTGTTCATTTCAGGGGTGATCTCAGGTCCCAGTAACAGACCCTTAACAATCCAAGAGAAAAGACTATTTGTGAGTGTGGAAAGTATTTGGAAAGAATCCAGAAGTTCTAAAGGCTTCTAAAGGCTTTCTGTACTACTGCTACTGACAGTAAGAACTGACTGTATGTTTGGAAACTGAATCCTCTACAGATAGACTAAGTAATGGCTGTTTGTGCACTTCAAACTGAGCAGCTTGGGGATTGATTAGGTAAATAATTTAGACAGACCAGATAATTTAACACCTGGCGGCTGCATTCTGGGCCAATTCCCAGTTTGGGCCGCACTCAAGCCAAATTCATTTATTAAGCACTATTAAAAATAAAAAAAAACAACAAATGTTGGCATAATAATAAAAAATAATACAAATTCAATAATTTTGCTTTCATTTTCATGGTGTTTATTTGAAAGTGCCAGCTGCCCTATACATCTCTGTGGACCAACTTTAACTCACAAACAAACTTTTTCCTTTGTCTTGAAAATGTTCTATTTCACAGATACAGCTAACAAACTTGTTCTGTGCCATAAAAGACTGTCCAAGTGGACTTTTGGTTCCCCGAAGAACCTTTAAATGGATGGTTTTATAACAGATGATTTTGAGGAACCAAAAGTGTTTCCGAAGAGCTATTTTAGGCATCTTTACTTTTTAGAACTTTTCAAGGTTTTATCAAGACATCAGCAAGCAGTAAAACTTGAAGGGACACTCTGGCCAAACTAGGAAAACCCCCTTCTGGTGACATATCTTGAAGGTGGGAGGAACGTTTGAAAAACTTTGGGGTGTATTTTTGGAGAAATTTTGTTTAAAATGTGTTATTGTTTTTCAAAAGCTCCTCCCACCTTCAAGATACATCATCAGAAGGGGGTTATCCTATCCTAGCCTGTCCCTCTCAACAACTGCTAAGATGTTTCTTTGAAGTTAAACATGCTCTTCTTCCATTAGGACACTCTGGGTGGAGGCTTTGACGCCACACAGGCGTTCGTAGGAGAGCTGGCCAACTTCAACATCTGGGACAAGAAATTGTCGTCCTCTGAGATTTACAGCCTGGCCACCTGTAACAGCAGAGCACCGTCCGGCAACGTGCTGTCCTGGTCTGAGACCAACATCGAAGTGTTCGGTGGAGCCACCAAGTGGACTTTCGAGCCTTGCCGTCAGCTCAACTGAACTGCAGCCTGAGAGAGAAAGAAAGAAAAGAAAACAAAACAAAAAACAACAAAAGGCCATCAGAGACTCCTTGCTCTTGTCTTTCTTGTCTTCATTTTGACGTTAACAACAACAACAATAAAAAAGAGAACAGTCCTTTAATAAGTTACTAAGTTGAATAAGAGTTAAGCAAGGATTTCTATGAATACTTATGAATATTTATGTGCGAAATTAAAAAAAGTCATCGTTCGTTGTTGGAAAGCACAGTGAGACAGTGTTGCTGTTGGTTGCTTTTTTTTGTAAAAAAAAATCAGAGATTTTGTTTTTTTTTTCCTTTCTTGCAATTGCACTCATTCACTTTTTTCCTTTGCGTCCAAAAAGTGGACTTGCGACTCGTCCTGAGAGCGAAGCTGCAGGTCTCGTGCCTGTTTGGCTTGGATTCCTGGGTTAGGACTTTTATTTTTGAAGGCGAGAATCGGACTAATCGGGACAGTCCAAAGAACATCTCAAGGTCAATGTTTGGTCTGAAGGCCGGTCAGTTCCTCTTCTATCCACCATCTCCAGGTTCTACAGACATTCAAGGACGCCATTCAAATGGCCAACGTGTTTAGAGAAAGCCTGAGTGCCTTGGGCTGGAGCGCTGACTCAGCACACGCACTTTTCCATCCGCTTTAGCCATCCTGCCACTTTATCTCTCCGCTTTCACTGGCCACTTCTTGTTTCTGAGTAAATGTGTTAAAACAGCGATTTGTTCAGGTCCTGGCAGGTGTTTGTACTCTGTAATAGGAATGTTAACTGTATTGTAACAGCATGAATGACCAAAATGCTGCAACAAACAATGGCATCGTCGACATCCGCTTTTACTATTACTATGGTTCGGGTCGGGTTTTTTCTACTGTATTGTTATATGCTGAAAGCATGGCACCACTGAGAGATGATAAAAGATATAATTTTTGTAATAAAATTGTGATATCTAATGAAAATCTATTTTTTGCTGTTATTAAGGGGTCAGAAAAGGTCCTCACTTTATTTAATTGTGTGCATAATTTCTACTGAATGGTTTAAAAATATTTGAGCAAGATTAATACATTTTAATACAAGCATATCTCTGCTATAAACAAAAATATAAACTTTCTTTCCAGCTCTTACCATTTATAAACAACTCAGCTGAAAGTGGAGCAAGTGCAACATTACAACTTACCCCATAGGCAGAGTTAACTGTAACAGACTGGGCTAAAAAGGCTGATAAATCAATTTTAGTACAATGAATTCAATGCAAATCTATGCTGTTTAAAGTAGATGAGCTTTCCAACCTAAACACATAAAATAAATTCATGAACAATACATATGAGGCTGTGTCAAAAATTGTCACTGTCCAAAAAACCTAAATATCTCCATTTTTTGCAATTTTTAGTTTTCTGCCTAATTTCAACTCAGCAGCTGTCCTTTACATTTTGTGAAAAAGTCATGATGACTGGACAAATAAAAATGCTCCAAAATGGCTGTGAATAAAATATTTTTACATTAACTTACATTTAAAGCAGGGACAGGTTTTGCCCTCACCTGTAAAGTTACCAATTTGGAGATACTTGTTTTACTTCAGACAGTCATGATATTCAGTTTACATGACACATATAGAACATTTGTGATGATTCTGTGCATAGAAACACCAAAAAATGGCCTGTTTTTAATGCATATGGAGTCCTCAAATAGTTTATCTTGGGGGCATTAGTTGTAACCGTGTATTAAACTAACCCCCCCGTGTGGGGGCTGGACTTTAGCCCTGGTAGCTCTCACTGTGAGCTGTTTATAACCTTCAAAACAGAGCTACAGCCACTATACAGTCATTTATTCACACAACTTTTCAAAGGTTTGAACATGCCAGGTCAAATGATGTTCTTGTGTTCCCATAGCAACATCGTCCACCAACTTTAACAGCAATCAGACATTTCAGATATATCTCCAGATTCACCCTGAAGACTGTTTATGTGAAAACAAGTGAAAATAAGTTGACACATCATCTACAGAGAATACACTTCTGCACATGCAATGTTATGACACCTTTTTTTACATCAAAACTTGCAGAAAAACTGACATTTTTCTGCAAGTTTTGAAGCAAAAAAGGTGCCATAACATTTTATGTTTTTATTCATCCTAACGTGTTAAATTCAGTGAATAAACAGTATTAAAACGTGCAGAAATGTATTCTCCATACTTATTTTCACTCATTTTCACATTAACAGTCTTCAGGGAGAATCTGGAGAAATATCTGTCTGATTGCTGTTAAAATTGGTGGGTGACGTTGCTATGGGAACACGAGAACATGAATAAAAGCATTTTCTTCTTCAACATGTTTACCTACATGAAATATCCATGTTATATCTTACCCTGTGTTGGTTTGTGCCCCGTTCTCCATATCACATCAACACTACTGTATCTTTCAGACTTCTTACTTTTGGCAATAATAATGATGATGTAATATATTTTATTTATGTGGAAATGATGCACACAGTCACTGTGGGTGGAGCAATTGGGTGATAGATCACTGGCAGCAAGAGAAAGATACGGATGAGTTAGAAAATCTAAGTATTAAATATCTAGAACCATGTTTCAAAAAGACATTTGTGAATGTGAAGAACCTTTCAAAGCTTTAAAAAAACGTTCACATAATTCAAAAGTTACATTATGTGAAGCTTCTTCACACTCAGACACCAAACATCTTTACTAAAATTGCTCTCTGAAGAACCATCCACTGAAATGTTCTTGATGGAACCCAATGTGGTTCTTCTACACTCTAAGCAAAAAGGCTTCTATAATGTACCAAACATGAACCAAACATTCTATCACAGAAAAGAGCCATTTAATATGCAAAGAACCATTTATGCATTTAAATGGTTATTTGGGTGCTTGTGGTTCTTTATAGAACTGCTTTCTTTACTAATGAAGATTTTTAGCAAAAAATGTTCCATACAGTACAAAAAAAATTTGGTAGAACCCTTTGGTGGTGCTGTATGGAACCTTTTTAATTTTTAAAAAGGTTCTTTAAAGAACCATCTCCATCACAGAGAAGAGCCATTTAAGTATGCAAAGAACCACTTATGCATTCAAATGGATATTTGAGTGCTTGTGGTTCTTTATAGAACCGCTTCCTTTCTGATGAAGACTTTTAGCAAAAAAGGTTCTATACATAACCAAAAAATAGTTCCTTGACTTGTTGAAATAGTGGAACCCTTTTTGTGGTGCTATGTAAAAGGTTCTTTAAAGAACCATCTCCATCATAAAGAAGAATCATTTAACCATGCAAAGAACCACTGATGCACTCAAATGAGTACCCAGGGTTCTACGTATGACATTACCTTTACTAAAGAACCTTTGAAGAGCCACAATTGTAGCAGGATGCATTCTTTATGGTACCAAAGCAAAGGTTCTTTGACTTGTGAAAATAGTGGAAACCTTTTGGTTGTGCTATATAGAACCATTTTAATTTTTAAAAAGCTTCTTTAAAGAACCATCTCCATCATAGAGAAGAACCATTCAGCCATGCAAAGAAACCAATGATACATTCCAAAGAGTGCCCAAGGTTTTATGTATAACATTACCTTTACTAAAGAACCCTTGGAGAACCACACTCTTAGCACGATGTACTCTATATAGTACCAAAATAAAGGTTCTTTGAGTTCTGAAAATAGTGGAACCCTTTTTGTGGTGCTATCTAGAACCATTGTTTAAATAACCTCCCCAATTATTTTATAAAGAGTTGTACACAACAGCCTACATAGAGAACTATTTAACCATGCAAAGAAGTATTAAAGCATTAAAACAGTTCTTTGAGTGCCCAAGGTTCTCTGTGTAACCTTTACTAAAGAACCTTGAGAAACCTTTTTCATGGGTGTATGGTGTTGTGCAAAGAACTGGTGCAAGAAAACTTTTTAAGCTTGTATGGTAGCATTTGAATCAGTATTACATTAACCACAGAGTCCAGTTAATACTAAAACAGATCACTTCTTCTCTCCACACTGCTGACCTGACCACCGAGGTCAGAAGGCAGATTCAGAGGCTTTCCAGCTTAATTTATCTGGCCAGTGAAGAAGACCTGCTCTGCGACTCACCCACCACTGTAAATGGTCATATCACTTTGCAGCGATGCGGTGTTTTCATGTGCTGCTGCAGCTCATGTTTTCAGTGCAGAGTCACAGGTCATGTCCACCCACAACACACAGACCAGATGATGCTGCTGTTTCTGTGCCAAAGCAGAGCTGCTGCCAAGAGCAACGTAGGACTGACCCGAATGAGAGAGGCAGAAATTCAACATTCTCATATAGCAAAGTGACCCATACTGAATTATTAATGTCCACAGAACTGCATGATAGTCATTTAGGCTTTACAGTAATGTTGGGCCTCATTCACCAATATTTTCCTAAGTGTGTAAACCAAATCTCATTAGGAAGCAAAAAGTAAAGAGAAATAAAATAATACTAATACTATTACTACTAATAGTACTAATAAAAATAAAACAAACAATAAGGTAAATATGAAAAATGAAGTAATAGATCTGAACATCAGGAATGAGAAATATTGATTACATAACTAAAGAAATGCTATTTTAAGCTTTTGTTTTTTATGTTATGTTCTTTCTCTCTCTCTCTCTCTCTCTCTCTCTCTCTCTCTCTCTCTCTCTCTCTCTGTCTCTCTCTCTCTCTCTCTCCTCAGTAGCCCATGAACTATTCATTGTGACATTTATGAACCAAATGAACCCACTGGGGTGGACGTTTACTCACCGTGCTAAACGTCACCAGGGCAACAGGACGCCCATCAATTGTCATTGTGATGTCATAATCACCTGTGTACTTGCTACAGGGGCTAAGCCTGAGTTAGCGTAATGCTACTTAAGCACTAATCTCCCAATGCAGGCTGAGAAGGAGGAAGCCAGGACCGCAGTCCAAATCACTGCAGCTCAGCTTTGACGGGCTAAAAGATCCTGACCAGAATACAATAATAAAAAATTATAACATCTAATTATAATATAGAATAATTCAGTAATGTTATTGTTCAGTATCTACTATGACTTCTTCAGTATCTACTATAAATTATTCAATATCTACTATAAGTATTCAGCAACTACTACAAATTATTGAGTATCTACTAAGAATTATTCAGTAAGTGTAATGAGACTAATGTGCAAGCTCTGCAGTTGTGAGAGTGAGGAAGTGAAGTATGAGTTCACTTACAGGTGTGTGTAGATTTTAAGGGGTTAGGTTGGGTAAAGGTCTGTTAGGGGAATTACAGTAATATCCCAGAACCCCCTGCAAAGTCCAGGACGGAGTAATACATAATCTTTTGTGGTGTTCAGAGTGAGGTTCAAATGGCTGAGATGGAAACAGCAAGACATCCATCAAGCTCAAGGTCACTGCAGTGGCCTACTTTTACTCTCTCTCTCTCTCTCTCACTGTTAGTTAAACAGGTCAAGATGACAAAAATACCATCATATATGCATGTCTCTGTATTGACTCATATTTCAGTGTGCAGGCATGTATTAAAGGACAAATAACAATCACACAATTGCATAAGAGGTGCATGTTTAACTCCGTGCCTCACCTCACTACTACAGAGCTTACACATAGGTTTCATAGAAGATTCTAAATAATTCATATTAGATTCTGAAATAATTCATAGATGTTGCTGAATAATTTCCATTAATAACAAAATAATCCATAGTAGACGTTGAATTAGTCATAACATACTGAATAATTCACAGTATATACTGAATAATTCATAGCAGTTACTGAATAGTTCATAGTAGATACTGAATAATTTATAGTAGTTACTGAATAATTCTTAGTAGATACTGAATAATTCTTAGTAGATACTGAGTGATTTATAATAGATACTGACTAATTCATAGTAGCAACTGAATAACTTTGAGTATTTATTAAATAATTCATAGTAGATACTGAAGAGAAATAATTGTAAATAATAACAATTTGCTA